AGAGGGCCTTCAGGGTCTATGCAGTTGTGTTTCTAGGCAAACTTGGAGCAGGTCACCTAGCACCTCTCTCTCCTCCCTCCACATTTGAAGACTGTAGAAAGGGCTTTGGCATCAAATGTGGCCTCTGACAAGTGCTAACAGATAAGGTGGCCTTGGGCAAATGACTTAACTCTCTGCATTATGGGATGCTGACCCTTAAAGATGGAAGTCATCATTTCTTCTACACAGGGTTTCATCAAAACCATGGAGATGTGGAGTGGGATCCACATGGCACAGAGCCTGGTACCCAGGCTGCTCCTGCAGACAAGAAACCCTGCCTCTCCCCTGCTTCTTCAGATTTCCAAGAAGGGGACTGATTCCTCTAGCTAACCTTTATTAAACACTCAGAAAACTAAAAATATGTTCAATAAAATAGAGAGAACAGGGATATCCAAGACCTTCTTGATATTAGGTGGGGAACTTAGGATGGTTAGACTTCCCACCACCCTGCCCAGAGGCAAAGTAGGTCACCTATTCCCGAAGCCAGCTATGATTCCTCAGGTAAGGTGTCCAGCTCTCATCATTTTCCAAGATCACAGTACCCCCGGAGCATTCTTTTCTCTTGCAGCCTGGCCATCTACTACTTGAACTCAGTTTCCAAAAGCCTTTCTCGAGCAAATGCCCAGCTGAGAAAGAAAATCCAAGCGGTAAGTCTGTCGGGAGTTTTCATTAAACAAAATGTTATGTTTTTGGCTTTTGCTAATTTACCTTTTGAGCCCAGTTGATTGTATTCTTTAAATGGCCTTCTTCTAAACCAAACCCGAAGTTATCTGTATGGTAGGAAGCAGCCTTCAGAGATTCAGTGACCCCCATTTATATTCTGAGGGTATTTGGGAATACATAATAGTAATGATTCCCTGGTGGCTCAGATGGTAAAGAGTCTGCCCGCAATGCGGGAGACCGGGGTTCGATACCTGGGTCGGGACGATACCCTGGAGAAGGAAATGGCAACCCACTTGCCTGAAAAATCCCATGGATGGAGGAGGCTGGCAGGCAATAGTCCATAGGGTCGCAAAGAGTCAGACATGACTAAATCACTTCACTTTCTTTCAACAGTAATGACTTAAATTTTGAGCAGCTGCTAAGGAACAGGAAAAAGTCAATGGGTTAAACCAGTGTTCAAACATAATAAAACTAGTACCCACAATAACTCCTACTGATTAAAATGAGTACTAGAAATACTAAAGAAAACAGCATTGTCAGAACAACAGAGCGCTTGTGCCCCAAAGCCTAAGGAGCCTCTGTAAGTCCCCTCCACACTAGCACAGCCTCTCTCAACATCTGATGACACCCTGACTCCTCTCCTGCTCTTGCAACACCCACCCCCACCTCTTTAATGTGTAAAAAGCTGGACTCCAACCCTCCCTAAGTCATGTCCCCCTTGTTTTCTCACCCTCTTTTCTGGAACTAATCTCATCAGCCTCACTGCCAGTTCCCCATCCACACTTCCTTCTGTCACTCTCACTGACCTCCTGCCCAGGTGTAGAAAACCACTGAAATACAGGATTGGCTGAGGGTCTGTCTTCCCCTGGCCAGATGTTCCTTCAAATGCTATGCAAACCTGAGTTCTGGGTGCCTCTCCGACCAGCGGTGAGAACAAGAACTGGTAATTTAAGGTGGCTTCCCTCTGGATCTCACCATCCTGGGGTCCAAAACTCAAAACACCCATTTCCCTGGCCAGGACTAACGATTCATTTTTTCCCTGCAGCTCCGTGAAGTTGAGAAGAGCCATAAATCTGTCAAAGGCAGAGCCACACCCAGAGATTCAGAGGACACGGATAAAGGCAACTCCAAAAATGGCACCCAGCTCACCAAAGAAGGTATATTCTATTTCACGATGATTACTTTTTACAAGGTGACAAAGAAAGTGTAAAGAGCAAATGCTATGAAATCAGATGCATATGGGACTGAAGTCAGAATTCTCTCAACTACTAACTAGCTGTATGAAGTTGGGCAAATAGAAGCAAGAAGCAAGAGTAAATCATAGGTAACCTCACAGGGTGGTGCAAATGCAGTGAGATTATGCATGTGTTTTGCAGACTTCCTGGAACCAGTGGGAGGAGGAATGTCTGTAAAATGGGAGAAATACCAGGGTTGTTTCCCTCATTTCTATCCTGAGTCTCTTGCCACATTTTCTATGGTGATGGTTCTTCATTTCTTCATTTCTGAAGTGACTTTGCCTTCATCTCACTCCAGATCTATCATTTCCCATGTCATATCCTCTTAGTATCTGGCTACTTAAACCACTGTCGGAGCATGCCTGGTGTCCTACCCAGATCCCTTTAAGATGCCCTGAGCTTGGCTTATATGGATCGCAGCTGCCAGAGATGGATGAGCTATTTGTTTTCTGTGCAGTCTTTTAAGAGAAAAAATAGGGACATTTGCATCTAGCCGCTGCAAATCCCACCAGAACCAATTTATATTCTCTTAAAAGACAAGAAGCACTAGAACAGCTAGAATAACATGGTGAGGAAGGGCCACACACATTCCAAAGGTGTGACAGAGCTTCAAAGGGGACTAATCACCGACCACCTCTACTTCAGCAGTGAGGAAAGCAAACTGCAAGAGACCGTCTCTGAGCTATTCTTGTTTTCCCAGGACTGTCCCTGTATCAAAATTAAAGTATCAGTATGCAGTAATTTTGACCTTTCATGTGGAAATTGCATGAGATGTACAAGAAATGGCTGAGAGTTTAGGAGTTAGTTAGAATTTATAGTATGGAAATTACTTACCATTTATTTGATGCCTTTATAACGTGTAGGCAAGACTTCAGAAAACAGAACCATGAAGAAGCTAATCCCATAGCAGTATTTCCCTGAAGGTGAAAATCCTCAGTTCTCCAGATGCAATAGTGCAGAGAGTGACTGTGGAAGCAAGTCAGGAGGAAAAAGGGCACCTGTGTGGATGTTCATAGCAAACGCTCATTGATATTGAAATAGCAGGTATTAAAATAAGTCATGAACAAGTGGGTATTAGAAAAAGAGGACAAGAAGTCTGCGTGAACATAGAACCTATTCCTGGTGAGTCTCAAAAATGTATGGAAGGCATCTCAGAGCTATAGCCTTCAGTAAAATCAGCTGCAGTCTGTCCACAGCTTGGAAGGCTGGTTCAGAAATGAAATGCAGCAGAGCAAGTGGTTGTTTTTATCATGGAGCTGAAGAAAGTGTTTGAATTCACCTAATTTTTTTCACAAGGGGTAGGAAATGGGAGTAAATGTGACATTATGTTGCCATATCACCAACAAAAACAAGACAAAAAATAGAGTGGATGTATTTGAACATCAATGGAAGAGAAAAAACAGGTTTATAGAACATTTTCCATAAGGCAAGAAACTAACATTGGTTTGACAGTGGTCCATTCATGGACCCAGAGTCCCAAGGTTCCTGTACCCCTTATCCACTCCCTTCCCCTACTTTCTTTACTGGCTGCTGATCTAAAGTTTGCCCCTCTCCAAATTTGAATTTTTTATTACAGATCTGAAGCTCTTTTGATTTTATGCTGATTAAATCAATATTGCAGTGTTTTTTTTTTTAATGAACAGGCTATCAGAACACATCAGTGGGACTAGGATGTGCAGGGAAACTGAGGAAGGGTGTTAAACTTTCACCTGGAAAACTCCCAACAGCATCTATCGCTGCCTTCATTTAACTTCTCTTGTTATTTCCTTCTCCAAGGAATCTTCCCAATCCAGGGGTTGAGCCTGGGTCTCCCGCATTGCAGATTCTTTACCATCTGAGCCACCAGGGAACCCCTTTCTTGAAGTATACACTAAAATGACACTGCTCTAACAAGCAGGCCTAACAGCTAATGGCTCAAACACAATAAAAATTTCTCACTCTATAAAGCCCAAATTGGGTATTTCCATTTGATGGCCACTCTCCTCCCAAGTAGTGATGTGGGGAACCCTGGCTCTGCTCATCCTGTGACTATACCTGCATCAGGCTGGGAGTGGGAAGAGCCTAGAGTCACACATGGATACAGTGCCCATCAAAGTCTGGACTTCGGCCACAGGCCATACTCTCCACAATGGAAATTTAGCCTATTTCTATGTCCTAGAACTGGGTTTGGTGAAGAACAAGTCAGTATTGCCCCTAACTCGGAGTTAAGGAAAGGAGGGAAACAAGTAGGTGAATGAGCTGGAAATAGATATGATTAGCAGGGCACTGTCCTGGGGTTGATCCAGTTTCCACAACCCTTTCTATCATCATATTTGACCCTGGTAGCCATCTGTGAGCTGCTATTATAGCTCTGATTTTATTCTCAACAAAACCAGGCTCAGAGAGTCTAGCCTAAGGCCAGAATTCAAAATCTAGCTCTCTATCCAGCAGATCATACTCCTCCAACACAGCTGTTTATACCAAGAATGGGCCAAGGTGCCCCTAGGTGATCCAACCATTCTCACATCACCAAATAGGACTGGAATCTACCTAGAGCACAGGGCAGCTTCCAAGAACTCCAATTCCACGCCAGGACACTGTAGGGAAATCTCCCATATCCTCATTCTTGTCTTGTTCATTCCCCAGGGACTGCACATCACCCTGCTAGCCAAAGCCAGACCCTGGACCAGAAGGCGCAGGGCCCTGGGGCCTCCAGTTCGGCCAGGAAGACTGTGCTGCTTGCCTCCCAACACCTCCCTGTATCTCGGGCCCCTGGTGTCAGACCAGACTCTGGCCAAGCCCGTCCTCAGGTTCATCCTTGGAGGTCAACCTCTGGAAAGCGGGCCTGGAGACCACCCCACTGACAGCTGGGACTAATGGAGCATGGTCCTGGGGCTGATCCTCAGGCCCCACCAGCTCACCGCACCCCCCAAATCATTCTCTTCCTCTTTTCTCTCACACACATTCATGTTCTCTCTACTCTCACTGAATGTGGGAACTTTGATTACCAGTCTCAGGCTCTTGTTAGCTACCAAGAGGACAATGGCTTCACCCACCTCTTCGGAGAGCTGAGCCTTCCCCCCACTAACTACCCATCCCAGAGTCCTGGCTCAGGCAGCTCTGGACCCTGCACTCACAGCAGATTCCCTCAGCTCCAGACTCGGGGAGAGGGGGTAGGGCCATGATCACCATCATAGACTTTTGCACAGAGTCCACGTGGAGACAGGTTTCTACCAGCTCCACAACTGGGAAGAGGTTACAGAGGGACACACATTCCTGACAACCAACCACTTCCTTCCAAAGCAGGTGATGCAGTGTAAACAAAAGGTTCAAGAAGCCAATGATAATAAAAGTAAAATGAAGTCCAGCCTTGGTGAGTGGGAAAATGGTGATTCTCCAGAAACTAGCTGGAGGAGAGCTGATGCCATCAAGCATCAAAAGTGCACTGGAGCCTCCCTGGCAGCAAGGCAAAGAGACAGCAGCGTGGTTCCTCTGACCTAATTGAAGGTATTAGTCACTCAGTCGTGTCTGACTCCAGACCCCATGGACTATGGCCCACCAGGCTTCTCTGTCCATGGAATTCTCCAGGCAAGAATACTGGAGTGGGTTGCCATTTCCTTCTCCAGAGGATCTTCCTGACCCAGGGATCAAACCTGGGTCTCCTGCATTATAGAGATGGATTCTTTACATTCTGAGCCATCTGGGAAGCCCTCGTGAAACAAAATATTGCTCAGGGTAGAAAATTCTTCCTCATGCACGAAATTCTAAAATGAATGATTGTTTACTGTAAAGGGTTTGGGGGGGGGGGTGGGGATGGAGTTCTGCAAAGGGTACAGTGTAGAGCCTTGTTTCTGGTGATCACATCCTGGTTCTGTGCAGAAGTCTCATGGGGGCATCAGCCCTAGAGGCCAGACCACCGAGGAGGCCTTGCCAGCATGAGGCAAGTATCGGCAGGGTGCCAGTCTCAGTCCAGGACTCCCAGAGGTTACCCTCAGGCTTCCAAGGCTGACCAATATCCCTACTCACCCACCACAAATACAAATTATCCTGTTCTGATGACACATAACTTTATGTGAAGGAATGTATGTTATCTATTGTTACATAATAAATTATCCCCCAAACTTAACAGCTTAAAACAACAAACATTTGTTATCTCACAGTTTCTGTGCATCAAGAATTCGGGATTGGCTTCACCAGGAAATTCTGGTTCTGCATATTGCAGTCACAATCTGAGGCAGGGCTAGTCATCAGAACATTTGTCGGGAGCTGGAAGATACAGTCACAAGTGGCTCACTCATTGCTGTTAGCAGGAGGTGTTGGTTCCTAGCTGGCCATCCACAGACTTGCTTACTCCCTACACTGACCTCTCCACAGGGCTGCTTGGGTACCCTCACAGCACAGCAGCTCACTTCCCCCCAGTGATCTGACAGCAAGGAGGAAGCCACAACACCACTTATAACCTGTTCTCAAAAGTTACACTATCAATTCCACCAATTTCTGTTCATTAGAACAGAGTCACTAAGTCTAGCTTACACTCAGAGATGGAAATTAGGCTCCAGCTCTTGAATGAAGAGTGGTCAAAGAATTTTTGGACACATTTTAACAGGTTTCTTAATTCAAATAGTTACCAGATCTCTGTCATGAAAACACTAAAGCTTTTTTGAAAGACATCCATCAGTGGATTCGTTAGTGGTGGATCCTGGGACCATCAGGCAAAAGAAAACTTCTAATGAGCTAGGGAGATGGGTAGAGGAAGAAGGTATGGGTAAGAGAGGAGGGATGATCATCTGGTGCAACCCCATGGACTGCGGCACGCCAGGCTTCTCTGTCCTTCACTATCTCCCGGAGTTTGCGCAGATTCATGTCCATTGAATCAGTGATGCCATCCAACCATCTCATCCTCTGTCATCCCCTTCTCCTCCTGCCCTCAATCTTTCCCAGCATCAGGGTCTTTTCCAATGAGTCGGCTCTTCACATCAGGTGGCCAAAGTATTGGAGCTTCAGATACACAGTGCTATAAACAAGAATCTACTGTATAGCACAGGGGACTATATTCAACATCTTCTAATAAACTCTAATGGAAAAGAATCTGAAATATATATAACTGAATCACTGTGCTGTATACTTGAAACTAACACTGTAAATCAACTATACCTCAATAAAAAAGAAAAAAACACATTAGTTACTAAAAAATTAAAAATAAAGTGATCTTAGGTTACTAGTGCCTCTAAGAAAAAGGAGGGACAAAGAAACAAAAAACAGCACAAAAACAAAGCGTATAAGATGCTAGAAATAAAATATATCAGGAATTAACCTAAGGACAGGGGCACAGGGACCGCCAGATTCTGTTGTGAAGATTCAACAAGCTGACACATATGAGACTAAGCGCTAAGCATTAGACTAAGTGCTCAGTAAGTAACAGATATTATCATAGGCCTGGGTAAGATCAAACATCCTCAGGCTCAGGTCATGAACACAAACATCACTGACTGATTAAAACTTTTACCCAGTATTCCTGAATGATCTTTCTAGAAGGCTTCCCATTCTTCTGTGTCTCCGTAGAGAAATGCTGCAAATATGTATAAATTGTTACCAAAGAATGTTGCAGGGTTTATTTGGCCTGGGAATTGCCAGACGCCTTTGAAATTTGATGTGAAAAATTCATGAAATGAATGTTAAGTGCCGCCATCCTGTGGTTGTTTCATGTAATTTCCTTTCCTGAAGCTCTGCCTAGTCCTTTGAACATTCGTTTCCGTTAAGTCCCCATTAACACAGCTCAGAGTAAAAACTCCGGTTTAATTACACCAAAATGACACAGTAAGCCATACACCAAGCTAAATAAAAGAGGAAGAGATGCTGCAGTGTATTATCCTTCCCAATGGGTGAACAGAGACAAGAAAGGCCCACGTGGCTTTTTAAAGCTGAGCCTGGAGCACACCTGGCAAGCCAGTAGCCTCCTTCAGACCTGCTGCCATTTTCCCAGCTGGAATTCGGTGGGAAATGTTTTGCACATCACCTCCAAACTAATCTGCTATCAAACACTGCTTTATGGAGAGTAAGAGTCATCAGGCCCAAGCCCCTCACCCTGGCCTTCATTCAAGGCTTCATACATTCTAGATCTTTCACATTAGATCCTTCAGTCTTTCGTCCAACTACCGAGCAGGATGAATCTCTTACACCTTCAGGAGTTTCTTCTCTCTGGATTGGCTTTCAGCTCTTTCCACCCTCCATCTCTAAATGACCCACACATCCTTCTGTGAATACCTAAATTACCTCCTGCCCCTGAAATCTTCCTCAAGCACCCTGGTCAGCCTCCCACACTGCTACATCATAGCACATGGCTAGTGAAGTCTCTGGACGAAGAGGCCATGGGTTAGTACTATCATTGCTTTCATCATCCTTCCACATCTCTGCTCGAAATGTTGCCCCTCCACTGAGGGACTCAATGCAACCTTCCTTAACATGTACCAACATCTATGGTACCAAGTATGTACTACACATTTACTTGATTTCCTGTCTCCTAGGATGTAAACCCCACGCTGGCAGGGACTTGACTTTGTAAAATACTGTACCCCCAGCATCTACAAAGATACTTGGCATATAATAGGCACATAAAAACCTTTTTTTTTTCTTCTAAGGAATGGAAAAACTGATTCTGTAGCTTCTTGAACATCATTACAGCTGATACCTCATCCACAAAAGATGTTAGATCATATAGTCTCCAAGATGCCCACTAGCTCAAAACTTACCTATGTTCTCAGGGGCCCAAAAAAGACCAGTTGAAATACATGACTTAGTTAGGGTTCTGAGAAGATGAAAAGATGCAGCTTTAGGCTCATTTCTCCACCCACCCTCCCACCACCCCCACCAGTTCAAGCTTTGTGTCTGTGAGGGGTCTGCAGACTACAAATGAGTCCCTGGGCCCCACACACATAAAATGATGCCAGCTGTCAGGGCCACACCAGCACTTAAAGAAAGAACTAGGTGGATACTGACAGAAGCTGGAACAACACAATCAGGATAGTAAATCTGAGATGAGGAAGTACAACAGCTGGTAGTATCCCAGAACTGTTTTGATCAATAGTATCTTGCCTCCTCTTCCAAAAAGTAGTCCTTCCCAGTACGAAATCGAATGCTACCAGGCAGTAATGGGTGGCTGGGGGTTTTCTCAGAGAAAGAGGAAATAATGTTTAGAAAGCAGCAATGGAAAGCAAGGAGGACTTCATCCTTTAATACCCATCTAAACAACGTGTGGGTCCTTGATGCAATCATAATGGAAATTAGAATAAATTTGATTTGAATTATAATGAAAGTATTGCATGCCAAATTTGTGAATACAGCTAAAGAAGTATCTAGAGAGAAATGCATATTGAAGGAGAAAATTTTAAGCCAAAGAACCAACTTCCATATTAAGAAACAAAACACAGCAAAATAAAGCCATCAAGAAAGGAAATAATAAATACAAGAACTAAAACATACAATAGAATCAACAAAATCTAAAGTTAATGTTTAAAAAAGAAAATTAACATTTTTTTGAGAATGATGAAAATAAAGTAAAAATAAAGGATAAAAAAGATCACAGCTATATATGCTACACAAAACATAAAAAAAATCTATTCAAATCTATACTAAAAAATGTGAAAGCACAGAGGAAATACTGTACTTTTCTTGGGCTCCAAAATCACTGCAGATGTAGCTACGAAATTAAGACACTTGCTCCTTGAAAGAAAAGCTATGACCAACCTAGACAGCATACTAAAAAGCAGAGGCATTACTTTGCCTACAAAGATCCATATATTCAAAGCTATGGTTTTTCCAGTAGTCATGTATGGATGTGAGCTGGACCATAAAAAAGGCTGAGTGCTGAAGAATTGATTTTGAACTGTGGTGTCAGAGAAGACTTTTCAGAGTCCCTTGGACAGTAAGGAGATCAAACCAGTCAATCCTAAAGGAAATCAACCCTGAACATTCATTGGAAGGACTGATGCTGAAACTAAAGCTCCCATACTTTACCCACCTAATGCGAAGAGCTGACTCACTGGAAAAGACCCTGATGCTGGGAAAGACTGAAGGCAGAAAGGGACAAGAGAGGATGAAATGGATGGCATCACCAACTCAATGGACAAGAGTTTGAGCAAACTCGGGAGATAGTAAGCCAGGGAAACCTGGTGTGCTGCAGTCAAAGGGGTCATGAAGATTCAGACATGACTGAGTTAACAACAAAATATATGAAATGAACAAATTCCCAGAAAACTAACAAAAATGGTACAAGAAAGTAGAAACCCTGAATGATTTGTGACCATTATAAATTTGAATTATTTAAAATATGCTTTGAAGATCTTCTCTTTGTTCTTGGTGTTTTGCTGGTTTATTACAAGGGTACAAGCCTGGATTTCTTTTTATCCTGTTTGAGATGCATTCCTGCACCTTTGGCT